GCAAAAGATTTTGAAATCTATTTATAGTTTCCTCATATTACAGATTACCATGAACTTTTTGAAGGACCTTTGTATTCATGCATTTCAATATATTTTCATTTCAAAGTAAACTTTTAATTCTAATTCCATAAAATTTTTAAACTTTTTATTTTTCTTTTTGAGAGGTAGAGAAAAAAAGAGAATTTGCAGATTACCTTCCCTAAATGCCTACAACAGACAATCTCGATCATAAATATGGGTGGCAGAGTTACACATTAGCAGAAAACTTTCAGGTATGAATTGACTGCTAGGCCAAATACCTGCTGGTGAACTTTGTGAAGCTCATTGCTATTTGTTCTTTTCGCCAGCTCCTGTTAAGGTATCACATTTTGTCCATACAAGTATTTATTTTTGTTAAGAAGAAAATATATATGTATATATATACGCTAAAATGAATACTTAGGTAAACTTTGGTCAGAATGCATGTAATAAAGTGATAGTAGATGTGTATCATAAATGGGATAATATCTTATATCTCATTGTTGCACGCCTATTGCTATTCTTGGCTTATGTTTGTAATTGGGCTGTAAGTAAATTTTATGGTATGTGTCATGACTGCCATATTGGTAAAGGCATTACATAATAATTTCTTTAACAGTTTCTTACTAATTAGCCGTTATTTTGTCTTCACAAAGAATACGTCAATGGAATTTGATCTATGCACTGCTCTGTGTGATTCTCTACAATTTCCCCATGATGACATCCTTCATTAGGTTGGGGAAAATATGCATAGCTTTCATTAGTAATTTCCTGCATAACCCCGCCAAAAATATTTTAATTTATATTGCAGGGTTCTTCAACAATATTGAAGATTCTAGATTAATTTAATTTTTAGCACTACAACACAAAACAGATTCTACCAAATTTTGCTGGAATATCTCATAATGTATACTAATGAATTTAATTCAAATTGCTTTATTGAATTTATTGTTAGTCTAACTTTATTGAATTTATTGTTAGACTACAGAGTTTGTTTTATAGTTTCTGTTTGTAATATTTTTTAAATAGTCTCTTTGTTTTAGAACAGTTTTCCATTCCCAGAATATTTACAAAGATGATATATTAAGTTCTGCTCCAATTCTGTTTTCTGTAAAAATGCCACATATTGATGTGTTGTATTTGTCATATTCTAACTCTCCCCATTCCTGGCATTTCTGGTAATTATTCTTTTAAATCTGATTTATTTCACTTAGCATAATGTTTTCAAGGTTCTTCCTTCTTTTTGGCTTAACTGAATGTTTATACCATATTTTGTTCATTCATTTTGCATGCCACATTTCGTTTATAAACCACTCATTAGTATATATTTGTTTATGTATATATGTTCTATGTGTCTGGTTTTATGGATAGTACTTTTCTAGACATGTATGTAATGCTTTTGTTAATTGTACATTTTGATAGCTAGTGAAATATACAACAGAATTATTTAACCTTTGTAGTAAAAGTGAAATATTAACGATAACTTCACCTTAAGACATAAACTCCACTGAATTATGAGAAGGCCATATCAGTGTTCAATTAGTGTTCAAATAGGCTCTCCAGAAATTAATAAAAATGTTTTCTTATTCTAGGTAGTGATATAATAAGCATCACTTCTTACTCTCTTTCTCCATTATTAAAATTAAACATTGACACCAAGTAAAATACTTTTATGATTGAAAATACTTTTTAAAGTTATTGTTGATGTTGGCCAATGCTCTTTGTAAAATTGATGGCCATTCTATGAACATCTATACATTTTCTTACCTTTTTTTTCTTTTCCTTTTTCTTATATATTCCCTAAAGGCTTTTTATAGAAGTCTTCCCAGTCTGTACCACTCAGGGTTTTAAGGAACAGTATGTATAAAATCACCAAAGAAGCTGTAGTTATTCAAAATTTGGAAAGAAACTACAGAACAACTAATATAGGAACATGCAGAAACACTTGAAGTATCTCTCTCTAGTGGGTATATTGATGCTTGTAAGTAGCTCTTTTTTTTTTTTCTTTTAAAGATTTTATTTTATTTTTATTGGAAAGGCGGATATTACTGAGAGGAGAGACAGAGAGCAAGATCTTCCGTCCGATGATTCACTCCCCAAATGAGCGCAATGGCCGATGATGCTATGCATAGTGCCGATCCCAAGCCAGGAGCCTCTTCCAGGTCTCTTCTGGGTCTCCCACGCGGGTGCAGGGTCCCAAAGCTTTGGGCCGTCCTCGACTGCTTTCCTGGGCCACAGGCAGGGAGCTGGAAGGGAAGCGGGGCCACCGGGATTAGAACTGGCGTCCATGTGGGATCCTGGGGATGTGAGGCGAGGACCTTAACCATTGCGCCATTGCGCCGGGCCCGTAAGTAGGTCTTAATGAGGTATACTTTATTTATAGGAAAATAAATGGTTGTTTGAACCATCATTTTGTAACATTTCATTTTTAAACATCAAGATTTTTTTATAAATACAATTTGTAAGGAAAACTGTGCGCTGTTTGTATAATACATGAAATTGTCAGTAATTTCATGTATTATAAAATGAATTTGTTGGAGACCTGATGTTTTGTTGTTAACTTGTTTTATATCTCTCAGCTGCTATGAACATAGCCAAGTAAATCAGATCCATGTTTAAGAAGTAATTCTTAATCTTATGTCTATACATCTCTTCATACTTATTCTCCCCTCTGCCCTACATGAGCCTCCTTCTGTCTTCCACCATTCATTATTTTATATTTCAGAGCTATCCTGGGATACTCTGTTTTTCTTTCCCTTGTTTATATTGATGACTTTAAGCAATATGCCATGTGTTTAATCTGCTGTTTTTCAGCATTTCTCTACCAAATACTGGTGCATTTCTTCTTACTTAAATACCAATTATCTATTTGTCCTGTTCCAGACAGTAGTTGCTTTTCTGAATTTTTTATAGTCTTTTGATAATAATAGTTAAAATTAGCTGAGCATACATTTTTAAATTATATTTTTGGGGTAAAAAGATACAAGGGCTATAGGAAAGTGGGTAAGACTATTATTTCCCTATTGTTTCCTTCATATATCTGAGGGAGAAGCCCCAGTAAGTCTTCCACCCACCCCAGGTCCCGGATGTGGGGAATCCTCTGAGGTTCTTGCTCAAGTGGTTTTGATAGTTCAGCAGTTATGAATCGCTGCCAGTCTCGCCACTCCAGGCACTATGAGGTCCTTGAAGAATCCACTGGTTGACATAGTCCATCTTAGAGTCTCCATTTGTCCAGTATTTTGCTGCCAACATATAGCTGCGGTGGTTGGTTGACTTGTTCTATCTTCTGTCTTTTCTTGGTTAGGGGGTCTGAGTCCGCCATTTCGATTGGGGGGATCCCCAAAGAAACTTTGAGGTGTTCCCAGACCAGATTCCTATATATACTAGCAAGTACAGGGCCCGGCACAGTTCATCACCCCGATCAGCTGGGGATTGCAATTGTTGGGTTGGTTCGGTTTTCAGCCCCGACTTCCACTGGAACCAATAGGTGTTGCAGTTCAGCCTGGTTCTGCCCAGCACATACTAGCCCTCACATAAACCAGTGGGAGCTGCAGCCTAGTTGGAGCGACCCACACTAACCCCCACCAGGCCCACCCCCTACCCTGGTTTGCCAGTATGTGCAGCAGACTAGTCCAGTCTGCCCCATATGAGCATACATTGTTACATTCTTGTGTGTGGAATTGAACTCAATTTTGTGCTCAGAAAATAAATTCATTTTTTTCACCTTGGATAATTGATTCTCAGTAACTGAATATTCATTGTGCTCAGTAACAGGTTCTCAAAATGTCAGAGTGAGGGTGTTTTATTTTGTTTAAGAATAATTTTTTTTTATCTGAAGGCTTTATTTGAAAGGCATGGTGAAAGAGATAAATAAGAAAGAGTCCATGCACTGATTCACTCCCAAAGCCTACGATAACAAGCTCGGACAGAGTGAAGCAAGGAGCTAGGGACTTCATCTGGGTGTCCTCCTACAGGTGTGGCGGTGACACACAGCACATTAGCCGGATGGGGAGTCGCTGTGACTCAAACCAGGCACAGCTTCCTGGGATGCTCAAATGCCAGTGCTCGAAGCAGTGATTTAACTCTGCATTTCTAGTGAGGTCTTTTTCAATAATCATTGGTGACTGTACTAATGTTAACATTGGGAAAGGAGATAGGAGTTAGAAAATTTTATAGCACAGGTATGCTAGGAAAAGCTGGAATTACACCTCTAATAGGTCACCTGGATTTGACCATTTGAAATTCTTACCCTGCAGAAACAGTGGCCCCAAAGGGATATAGCCACAGCTGGCATTGTGACATATGGGTTAAGTTGCCGTTTGCAGTGCCAGCATCAGTGTGGGTGTCAGTCCCCAGCTTCTGCATCTTAGATCCAGCTCTCTGCTGATGTACCCGGGAAAGCAGTAGAAAATGGCCCAAGGCCTTTGCTCCCTGCACCAATGTGATTGACAGAAATTACGCTCTTAGCCTAGCCCTGGTCAGTGTAAGCTGTTTAGGAAGCAAACCAGCAGATAGAAGGTTACCTCACCCTCTCTAACTCTGCCTTTCAAATAAAAGTACATGCCTCCCAGAATAAATATAAACATAAATATAAATAAAGGCTACTTCTTCCCTCAGCTGGCTGTTTCTTTTTCAAAGTGTCGTGATTTTTAAAAAATAATTTACTTATTTGAAAGGCAGAGGGAGATGTTCTCACATGTGTTGCTTTACTTTGAATGATTTGAGCAGCCAGAGCTGGACCAGACAGAAGCCAGGAGCATGTAACTATGCTTATCTCCCACATGAGTGGCAGAGACCCAAGCACTTTGGCCATCATCTGTTGTCTTCTCAGGCATATTAATGGGACCTCGATTCAAAGAGGAACTTGAACTCCACTTTCAATCCAGGTCCCTAATTATGGCAAGTGATGGTTTTAGCTGCTGGGCCAGAACATGATTCCCTGGCATCCATACCAAGGTTTTTATTTTAAAAATTTCAAAAAGATTTATTTTTATTGCAAACTCAGACATACAGAGAGGAAAAGAAATGGAGAGGAAGATCTTCCGTCCGATGATTCACTTCCCAAGTGACCACAACCGCAAAAGCTGTGCTGATCCAGAGCCAGGAACCAGGAACCTCCTCCAGGTCTCCCATGTGGGTGCAGAGTCCCAAGGCTTTGTGCCATCCTGCTTTCCTAGGGCACAATCGGGGAGCCGGATGGGAAGCAGGGCTGTTGGGAGAACTGGAGCACATGTTGGTTTCCGGTGCATTGGAGGTGAGCACTTTAGCCGCTAGGTCAATGTGCCAGGCCCAGTTTTTTTATTTTAATTTTAATATTCATTTATTTTTTTTCCTAGAAAGGAGAGAGAGAGATCGTCCATCCCCTGGTTCACTCCCTAAATGGCTGCAACTCCAGCAGCTGAGCTAATGCAAAACCAGGATCTAGGAGCTTCTTCAGGGACTCATGTGGGTGCAGGGTCCCGAAGACTTGAGCCATACTTGGCCACTTTCCCAGGTCATTGGCAGGAAGCTGGATCAAGAGTGTAGTAAGCTAAGACCCGAACCTGTACCTATATGGAATGCTGGCGCTTACAGATTGAATAGCCTGTTAAACCATGGCACTGCCCTCCCCACTCCATAGATTGTAATTGGTATAATCTTCATACCAGTTGATGTGTTGCTATTTTCATGGCATTTTATAGAAAGGTCGTCAAGCCAAGAAAAGTTCAAAAATCGGCAAAGAACAAGTAGTCAAATGCCTAAAAGTGTATCTAATCTCTTAATTGCTGCACATCCCATTATATATACACAAAGACACGTGCACGCCTGCACACACACACACATACATCCTCTCATTTGCCTAGGTATCTGTGACTTTTTTGAATTTGCCTGTCATGATAAAGTTGTCCTAACGGCCATATCACAAATACGGTTTTTCAAATTAAGCTACTCCCTCGAAAAAATCCTTACACATGGGAATTGTTCCACATGACTTCATTTGGCTTCCCATGTGAAGGACTGACTTTTGATTCTTTTGTTTGGCACCAGGCTGTGTTACTGGGAGCTGCCGATTATGGATGCCACTGTTTTTAGCCTGTATTGCAGAGCCATGCAGGAAACGAATCCTTGTAACCTGTAGGTTACAATGCGGCTGGGGAGAGGGGAAGTTCTGTTTATCTAACATTGTGTTTTGAAGAACTGTGCAAGTGTAGTTACTGGAAAACCTCATGAAAAACATAACTTTACTGTTCCCAAGCATTTTTCTGGCATCCTTTAATTCTTTAATTATTACTGTTAATATCAATAGCATTATTTAGATAAATGAGAAATAGAGAGGGTTTTTTTTTTATCCAGATCAGAACTTTTTTTTCAAAAAAGATTCAATTATTTTTTATTAGTTTATATTTATGGAGAGAATGAGAGACAGAGAGAGAGATCTTCCATTCACTGAATCACTCCTGAAATGGCCACAGTGGCTGCAGTTAAGCCAGTCTGAAACCAAGGGGCCAGGAGCTTTGGGCCATCATTCGCTACTTTCCCAACTGGGACCTGGAAGGGAAGAGGAGCACCTGGGTCATGAACCAGCACCAATGTTGAGTCTCAGCGCTTGCAAGGTAAGGAATTAACCATTGAGCCATTGTGCTATGCCCCAGAATATTTTTCGTTTAACAAAAGATTTATTTAATTTACTAAAAGAGTTACAGATAGATTCATCATGCATGTGGTGACTCTACTTCCTTAAATGGCTGTAGTTGGTACAGTTGGGCTGATGTCAAGCAGGCAGCAAGGAGCTTCTTCCTGGTACACGGTCCCAAGACTTTGGCCCTCCTGTGATGCTTTCACAGCATCAGTGTTGCACATAAAATATTAGGATTCTTTGCCACCAAAGTAGCCAGCAGAATGGTTTTTAATTATATTTTCTATATTAAATTCTTTGCAGTTTAAAGCCCAAGGAAAGTTTTGATTTGATTTAGACATAGTTAATGGAAGAAGTGTAGACAATTTTAACACGTGTGAAAATTTGACAGTATTTTCTCAGCACACGTTCGTATTATATAGTGACCCATCGAGGGGATGCTCCAGGATCCACAATAGAGCCTGCTGTGCTCCACGTTTCCTCCACTTATCTCTTGCCACTTCATGAGTGAACTCTCACTTTTATAGTCTCTATGGAATTAAGGAATTTACTTACTTCTGTGTGGCTGATGAACAAGTGTCAAATTGTGATCACTGATTTTTGCCATCTAATGTCCTTTTATACCCGTCCTGATGGCAGCTTTAGGCAGACTCATTCATAGAGGTGTGTTAGTTGGGAAGGCAGGACAAAAGCACATTTAGCACTAGGCTTTTCCGTGGTGGATACCCTGTCGCTGCTTCAGAACACCTGCTGCTGCTGCTGTTGAAAAGTCATCGGAGTCCTTTGGCCCTGCTGCTGCTGCTGCCAGAGCTGGTGCAGGTTGGCAGCACCTCTCCAGAGCCTGAAGGTAAGGGGCAGGTGGTTTGAATGGGGGAATGCAAATCAATATTCTGTCCATCAGCCGATGCTTACATAACCGATTCTCATCAGTTGAATGTGGCATAGCTGGGTAAGCCGCTGCCCGTGACTGCAATGTTGACATCCCATATTGGGCGCCTGCTTGTGTTTCTAGTGTTCTGCTTCTGATCTACCTCCCTGCTGATGATTTAGGAGAGCAACTGAGAATGGTCCCAATCCTTGGGCACCTGTATGTACTCCGTGGAAGATCCTGATGAAATGCCTGCCTGCTAGCTTCAGAGTGGCCCAGCTCCTGGTGTTGCACCCATGTTAGGTATGAACCTGCAGGTGAAGGTCTGTATTTTTCTCAAACTTTCCCTTTTAGATAAAACTAAACAAAAACCCTAACAGCCTGCTGATGGAGGGTCGGTTTGGAGTTCCTTTTTGGGTGTTCCTCAGGCTGCACTGCTAATTCAGACTGCATGTGCCCTTTCAAATACTTCAGTTTTTGAAGTTTATGGGATTTTGCTTATTTTTTTAATTAATTAATTTGAATGGCAAAGTGCCAGGGAGAGGTACAGCAAACTTCCGTCTGCCGGTTCACTCCTCAGATGACCACATTGGCTTGGTGTGAGCTAGGCTAGAAGACAGGAATTAGAAACGTCATCTAACTCTCCCTTGTGGGTAGCAGGGGATCAAAGTATTTGTTGTTTAAGTTTTATTTCTTTGAAGCAGAAACTTTGCAGAAGGGTGAGACACAGATCTTAGATCTGTTTGTTCCCCATGTGGCTGATTCTGGATTGTCCTGATGCAGATTACCAGAGCATCCTCTGGGTTTTCCTCATGCATCCAGGGCTCCAAATGCTTGGAATATCTGTTGCATTAGCAGGTAGCTGAGTTGGAAGTAGAGCAACCAGGTCTGAAACTAGCATCCATACAGAGTGATGGTGTCACTTGCAGCCATGTTGTATCTATGTCACAATGCGTGGCCCATGCACTTGAGTCACGGTGTTTTGGTCTCAGGTGTATTAGCAGGGAGCTGCATCAATATTAAAGCAGCTAGTACTTAAATTGACGTCCATATGGGATGCCAGCCTCACACCTGCTGCCACAGCAGCATCCACAACTTTATCAAATTTTAGAATGGTGGCTTTTTATCTATTAAATCACAGAAACAGTTTTTGGCAATAGACATAGCAAGGTAATTCTATTAGGATGCTTTAGGTTAGGGCAGATAGTTGTGCATGAAGGAAACTTATGCATTTGAAGAGTTCCAAGAAGGAGAGAATCACGTGCTTTTAGGACAGAGCCTGTATCTAAGAAGGAAATGAATCTCGGCGATTCACATACTTCCACCCCATCCCTCCATCTTAATGAAATGTAGCCACTGTAAAACATCCATCTTTAAAAATGAGTTATTTATTTGAAAGAGACAGTTATAATAGGCAGATGAGAGAGATCTCCTATCCACTGGTTCATCATTTCCAAAATGGTTGCAATGGATGAGGCTGAGGCAGACTGAAGCCAGAAGCCAGGAGCCTGTGTTTCTCCTTTGTGTTTGCAAGGACCCAAACACTTGGTGCATACTCCATTTTTCCTCAAGGCCATGGATCAGCAGAGACTTGAACCTGTACCCATTTGGGTTACAGACAGCGGCTTAATGTGTAATCTCTGTTTTTTTTTTTTTAAGATTTATTTATTTTTATTGGGAGGGCGGATATACAGAGAGGAAGAGAGACGGACAGGAAGATCTTCTGTGTGATGATTCACTCCCCAAGTGAGCGCAACGGCCGATGCTATGCCGATCCGGAGCCAGGATCCAGGAACCTCCTCCGGGTATCCCACACAGGTGCGGGGTCCCAAAGCTTTGGGCCGTCCTGGACTGTTTTCCCAGGCCACAAGCAGGGAGCTGGATGGGAAGTGGAGCTGCCGGGATTAGAACCGGCGCCCATATGGGATTCTGGGGAGTGTTCAAGTTGCCACCAGGACTTTAGCCGCTAGGCCACACCGCCGGGCCCTAGTCAGAGTAATCTCTTACACCAAAGTAGCTGCCCACCAATTGTGAAGGGCAATAGTGTATAACCTGTGTATTTTGAGTACAGGATAACACTGGGTGAGGGACCACTTCATTTAGTTTACTAGAGCAGTGTGGGGTAGTATGGAGGGAATCAGGGTCCTGTGCCCTCAGTATGGAGTGGCTGAAGTTCTGTTACTCAGCCCTGTCTCAAAGGTACTATGGTTATGACCAATGTCTTTCTTTGCATCTTCCAACTTGCAGGATATGTGGTCCATTGATCATCATCAGCAGCAGCTTTTTAGAATGTTATTCTTCGAGTTTTAGTTAAAAGATTGTTGGAAAGAGAGAGATTCCCTAATGACACAGTGGTCACTGCTGGGCCTGGCTTGAGCCCTAAGAGAGAGAGAGAGAGAGAGAGATTCCCTAATGACACAGTGGTCACTGCTGGTCCTGGCTTGAGCCCTGAGCTGCATCTTGGTCTCTCACATGATTTACGGAAATCCAAGCACTTACGCCATCTTCAGTTATT